AAACGCCCACGATTGCCGGCAACAGCAGGCCCGCGAGCTGGCGCCGCGCGATCCGTACACCGACCACGAATTCGGCCGCAGCCAGGCGGCTCCGATGCAGCGCGCGCTGGCACACAAAGCAAGCCACCGGCGGGTCGCCGGCCGGGCTGTCGGCCTGCTCGTTAGAGCTGCGACCAGGCATAGCCAAGGCCGACGAGCGCAAGCGCGCCTTCCGGGCAGAACGGGTCGAAGTAGTAGCGGAAAGGGAGCTTCTCTGCTACGCAAATGTAGACCTCCTCGCCTGACTCGGGTGCGGAGCCAGGCGGAGCGGCGTCCTCGCCCAAGCAGGCAGCCCGGAGCTGCGCCTCGGTGCGACCCTCACAGCTCACCGGGTCGGTCGCCCGGAACAGGGCAGGCGCATCGAGGAACCATTCCGGCACCGCATCGAAGCTCTTCTCCTCGAGGGCTCGCGTCGACGTCGACAACGAGAGGAGCGTTGTCAGGGGGAGGTGGCGGCGCGCAGCAGACGGCCTCATGCAGCGACTGCCATCGACTATCCGGCAGGCCATCGAACACGACTGGCAGCGAGGAGATCTCCTCTGACTGCCTTTCGATGGCCTTGCGCTCCTCCTCAGCTCGCGCGCGCGCTGCGTCGTGCCGGCGCATCACCGCGGAAACGCATTTCTGCACCCAGCCATCCATGACTGCGTGACGAGCGCCCGGGGTGCCTCGCCGCCAGGCGGAGTGCGCATCCTCGCTTATGCCGACCACGAGCTGGCCGAGCGTGCCGCCGAACCCGCCCCGATCCGCTTCCAGAAAGGGCGGGCACTCATGGACGAGCAGCCACTGCAGGATTGCGCCCGGGCACTGGCCGACGGACGCGTAAAGCTCCTTGATGCCGCTCATCCAGCCCAGGCGCTGCGAGCGGTTCTGCGACCCAGGAACTGGAGCGCACTGCATGTCACGCCTGATCACAAGCTGATCGAACGCGCGGCGGTACCAGGCCAGGATGGGCTCTCGTTCCTGGACCTCTTCGTCGGTGGTGGGCTGCGGCTCGCTGTCGATCTGGCGCGCCCGCTGAGCCTCCGCAAGATCGCGCTCCAGGATCTCGCATTCGAGACGGCTCGCAGCCTCCTTGGCTTCTGTGGCTCGCCACGGCGCTGCGCTGACCACTTTGTGCTCTTGCTGCGTGTCGGAGGCAACGAGAGACTGGAACGTGATCGTACAGAGCCAGCCAGGGCGGGAGCCGGAGTGCTTCCCCCGAGCCCCAGCCTCGCCTTTTCCGGCGCCGCGCACATCAGCCCACTGGTCGACAACGTCGACCTGAGCTCGTGGCACGCGCTCGGCAGGTCTTCGAATCTCCCACAGCTCGGAGATGAGCGTGTCGACCGCGAGCAGAGCGTGATGGCGGACGGGGCCCGGCTGGGCAGGGGAATCGCCGATCTGGGCGATGAGGTTCCGGTTCTCTCGAGCCCTACCCTTACCTCGCCCTTTCTCCTTTCCTTTCCCCTTGCCTTTGCTCTTGCCCTTGCTCCCCTCTTCACCTGCGGCGCCAGGCTGCTCTGGTGCAAGCTCAGCGCCCTCGTCAGGGCCCGCGCGTGCCGAGCCGTCTTCGGGCCGGAAGGTTTCGGCGTCGGCGTTCGCCCAGCTTCCGGAGCCCAGCAGCTGGCTTGCGGGTCGTGCGGGCTCAGGCAGGTGCCCTTCATGTCGGCCCCGGCCCGCGTGCGAGACCGAGGCCGCAACGCGCCCGGCGAGCGTGCTGAGGTCGGGCTCTGGCTCAAAGGCCTGCCAGCTCGAATCCTCAGCACCCCGCCAGCTCGCACCATCCCAGCCTGGCTGAAACTGCTCCTGCCCCCAGTCGCCGGAGGGCGCAAGGGTAAAAGGGGCCGTTCACCTCGGGCTGGCCCAGGCGCATATCTCGATACGCGGGCGGTGCGCAAACGGGGTGCGCCGGGGGGGCATCGGGTGTGGCTGAGGCCCAGAGGACAGGTCTGCGCGCTGCGGCATCATCAGCCAAGGCTGCGGCCAGAGAGACGAGGTCAGCTCCGGCCTCGGCATCCGCTCTCTCCCAGGGCTGGAGCCACTGGTGCTGGCCAGGCTCCTCGCCGTCGCCGGAGCAGCCAGGCGGGGGCCCGAGCGGCAGCCCCGGGAGCGCGAACCCGCTCTGCGCTCCCGGCTGCTCCAGTCCGAGCCAGTGCAGCGGCGACGCGAGAAGCTGCGGTGGCTCTGCTGCCGCGCTCTGGAGCGCAGCAAAGGCCGGAGCCAGCGCAGAGGGCGCGCCGGTCTCCATGAGAACCCTGCGCGCAAGAGCCGCTCGGGCAACCTCAGCGTCAATGAGCTCGAGCCTCTCCTGCTCGCTGCTCGAGGGTGTCGGAGGGACTCGCCAGCCTGGGAGGTCTGCCGCGTGCACTTCAGCTTCCACATCGGAGGCCAGTTCGCGGTCCTGCTCCCGCCGCCGCCGGCGCCACTCTCTCGGCGACTGCTCGCCCGACGCAGCTTCGGCATTCATCGGTGCGCGCATCTCCGCGGCCTCCTGCCGAAATTGCTTGCGGCGCGCCACGGTATCACCGGCCTACTACTACTACTACTACTACTACTACTACTACTACTACTACTACTACTACTACTACTACTACTACTACCACCACTACTACTACCACCACTACTACCACTACCACCACCACCACCACCACCACCACCACCACCACCACCACCACCACCACCACCACCACCACCACCACCACCACCACCACCCACCACCACCACCACTACTACTACTACTACTACTACTACTACTACTACTACTACTACTACTACTACCTACTACTACCACTACTACACTACTACTACCACTACTACCGCTACCACTACCACTACTACCACTACTACCACTACTACTACTACTACTACTACTACTACTACTACTACGACTACTACTACTACTACTACTACTACTACTACTACTACTAACTACTACTACTACTACTACTACTACTACTACTACTACTACTACTAATACTACTACTAGACTACTACTACTACTACTACTACTACTACTACTACTACTACTACTACTACTACTACTACTACTACTACTACTACTACTACTACTACTACTACTACTACTACTACTACTACTACTACTACTACTACTACTACTACTACTACTACTACTACTACTACTACTACTACTACTACTACTACTACTACTACTACTACTACGACCGCGACCCGCAGCACCTCGACGACCACGGCTAGCAGCAGCACCACGACTGCGACCAGCAGCGCCGCCACGACAAAGACGACCAGCAACGGCACCACAACCACGATGGCAATCAGCAGCATGACCACCACCGGCGCCACCACCACGACTGCGACCAGCAGCACCACGACGACCACGACCAGCAGCAGGACCACCACGACTGTGACCACCACCACCACGACAACGACCAACAACCGCACCACGGACCACGACTATGACCCGCAGCACCACCGTCACCACTATCACCACGACTGCGGCCAGCAACCGCGCCCCGACAGCGACCAAAAACACCTCCACCACGACGAGGACCAGGACAGCGACAACTGCGGCCAGTAAATCTACAACCGCGCTTGCGACCAGCAAGGCGCCTTAGAAGAAAGAAGTGGGCGAGACACGAGGAGGAGGAGGCTGCAAAAGAGGAAGAAGCGCCCGAGGAGGGAGAGGAGGAGGAGGAGGAGGAGGAGGAGGAGGAGGAGGAGGAGGAGGAGGAGGAGGAGGAGGAGGAGCAGCAGCAGCAGGAGGAGGAGGAGGAGCAGCAGCAGCTGCTGCTCCTCCTCCGAGGAGGAGGAGGAGGAGCAGCAGCAGCAGGAGAGGGAGGAGTATGAGTATGAACCAGTGGCGAAGCCAGTCGATAATAAAATTGGGCTTAAGCCTCAGGGCACAGAGAAACCTTCCGCTGCCGCCGTTCAAGGTCGGCCTTGCTTAGGGCTTTGGGCGCGAGCCCGTCTCTGATGCGATCAAGGTAAACCCTACCAGTGGGAGTAATATCCGAGCAGGCCTTCCCAAGGGACCGGAGCTGCTGGTCCGAGAACGCACCACATCTACCACAGAACCAAATTCGGAGTGCCACATGGTAATTAAGGAGATGGGAGGAGTGAAGCCAGCCCCCCGCGACGTGAATACGACTTCCTACAGCTGGAGACAAAAGCGTGCCGTCCACATTTACAAGCGGGGGGCACCCTGAGTTCCAGAATTCGGCGGTCGTGGCTTTGGAAGCCGAACCAAAACACTTCGAACACTTCTGTCTGCACTCCGAGAGCCTGTGAGCCGAGAGGAGCGGGGCGAGAGCAGCAGCAGCGGGAGGGCGGGGAAGGGGAGGAGGGGGAGGCGGGACCCCCTCTCTTTTCCTATCCCGCGCTTCCAGGGCCGCGGATTTCTCAGCAACAAAACAATCAAGGGTGGCTTTGAGCAGCCTCGTTCGGACCAAAAGGGCCCTCCGCTCATGAATCTGAATTTGCTGACGAACGGATTCGGGGATCCTGCGCGCCAGTGCAGCGGCCCCCGCAATTTCATCAACAACGGTATTAGCAAGCACGAGACTGCTGGTGGCCCGCCCCGCGCATACATCCTCCTCGTCTTGATGACTGGGAGTGAAGAGCACAGAAACACAGTGGTGGGGGCGGTGTAGCATCAGCTGTCTGATGAGAGCCCACAGGTCGGCGTCGGGACCCCTCGGCGCCCTGTGCGCACACTCGTACCAGCTGTTGGCCAGGGGCTCAAAATCTGCTATGTACACCAGGTGGTCGCGGGTCGTTTTAAGGGCGAGCATAAACGCACACAACTCGCCCCTAGCAACGACCTGTCTTGGCCCCCAAAGTGGGCCAGAGATGGAAGATTCGACTGCGAGCGGATGGAGGGAGGCAAACTTAACAATAGCAACACCTACGCGTCGGAGCCTGGGGGACTTCGAGTCGGGACCTCCAGAGGCGTCGCCCGCAACGATGACAGGCAGCTCACGGGACCCCACCCCCAGGCACCCGACTTCAACCTCGTTAACACCCGTCGCAAACCAGGCAGGAGCAGAGACAGGAGGCGAGACGGTTGTCCAGTCCCTGGGGATGAGGCCTCTGGCCCAAAACCCTTCTTCACTATCGAACTGCGCTTAAAGCCTGGGGCACTAAGTGCTCAGAGGAGGCGTAAGCCTGCGAATTTTTGTTCTCACTGCATTCCCAATATCTGTGCTTCGCCGTCTCAGGAGCTGCGCGGCAGCGGTCACAGATGTTGTCTCCCGCATAGGTCCTGATGAGACTGGCTTTCCTGTCCTTGGTCCAGCAGCCCGCAGTGGATACCATCACCATGGTCTCCGCCAGCCTCTTGCCGTTGTCAGCCTCGCTGAGCTGTCTGACCAGCCTGCGGTACGAATCGTTATCCACTCCATTCTGCAATCCAGATCCCAGATGCTGCATACTCGCATGACGCCACGTATTGACATACAGGGACTCCTTAAGGTCAGACAGTATAGCATCGTGCGTGTCAATATGCGGGTCGCCTGTGTAGCACTCGTCGGGGAAGTTCCATTCTTCATATGAGTTCGGGCCAGTGGGGTAGCTCCACGTGGTGGCTGTAGTTGGCATCCAGCCCGCCCGTAGAAGGTTAAGGATGACTGCCGACACTGGTCCTCGAACTTGTTGTGCCTGCTCGGCGTGGGTCTTCCCATGGAGGTTGCTCAAGATAACTGGCCAAATGCGCCTAACAGACGGTCGAATAGCTGGGTGGTCTCGCCAGGTACGCAGCCACATGTCGACGGCCTTGACGGGCAGCGTGTGCGCGGGGTCCATGTCGGGAGTCTTGATATCCAGCAGCGCAGTCAGGCACCTGCCTCGATTCCCAGCTGAGACCGACTGCCCGAGGCGACGGCGGACCGCGACCATCTGCTGGCCAAAGACTCCATGCACCTGGTGGCCGTAAAGGCCTGCAGGGAGGCCTCCCTGCTTCTGTAGTTTCGCCGTGACGTGGTACTGCCTGGAGGCCTTAGTGAACTTGCGGATCTTGGTGGATAGCTGCTTGTGCTTCGTCTCCCGTGCACGCCTGGTCGTCCTGGCCATCCTGCCGCAGCCGAAGTCGACGCCTAGGTACGTGGCCTGTGAGACTCCCATGATTTCATATCCTCTGCTGCGAACATCCTTGACGATAGCTCTCGTGTCATGCATGTTGGTGCACATGATGATGGACTTCGCGGCAACTTTCAGCTTCCTGAGCTTCAGCTGCTCGCACGTGAACACAATGCATTCCACCATCTGTCGTCTGAGTGCCTTCCCCGAACCTGCCATACGTTGGGATAAGTCGTCGATCCACAATATGTGATCGAACTGCGGGTGCACGGTCGTAACTGATTCCATCACAAAGTGAGTGAGCGCCTTGGCAAAGCGCGTGCCCGAGCGTAGTCCTTGGACTACACTCTGGCTGGGTTCGAACGGGTCAGTCGCCGCACCCATTTGTTCAAGTGCCCTGGGTGCTACACATTGCACCAGCTCGAGGTAAAGCACAACAGGAGGAAATTTGAGACGAAGGGCTGCTGCTACAAGGGGCCGCCATGGTATTGAATCGTAGAAGGCTTCTATGTCAAGCATAGCGTGCCCGTGCTGCATTTTGAAATTATGAGCGACCTCTTCACTTATCGAACGTAAGAAAGCCTCTTGGAGGCATGAATTGCCACGAATAGCAACGCCCCAATGTGCTGATTGCTCTTTACTCCAAACCTGAATTTCATCTTCACGAATCATTGACCAAACTCGGCCCAGCATCGAGACCAAGCCTATCGCTCGGTCTCCCGAACTCTTCTTGGGGGTGGGCCGTGCGAGGATCAGAAACACCTGCACAGGCCACGTGAGGGTGGCCTCCACCGCCTCCAGCAGCAGGGCCATCTCGGCCAAACCTGCTGCTGGGAGGCGCTCGTAGTCGACGGGCGTGAAGCCGTCCACGCCAGTGCCTGCGTTCGCCTTCATCCTTCGACACGCCTTGACGATGCTGGTGGGGCCGATGGGCTCAAGCGGGGCGTCGGTGGCCTCAGCTCGGATCTGCCTGAACAACTCCCTGGCGTCGCTGAGGTTGACGGGAGTAGGTGCCCATAGCTTCTTATAATGTTTCATCTTCTCGTCCATGATATCTTAGGGGTGGTAGATGGTGCGTCCGTCCATGGCCAGCTCCACCGCTGGTAGGACCTTGGGCTTCAGGGACTTGTGGAGGATCCCGCACGCCTTCGGTTCCGTCACCCACTGACGGAAGTCGTGCAGCGATGACTGAACAGCTACCCGCTGGGCTCGGGCTGCCACACGCTTGGCGCATCGTTCCCATGACCCCAGTACAGGTAGCGCAGCCTGTCCTCCGCTGCGCAGGAACTCGGTCCACTTCTCCCACGGCGGGTCCTTGTCGAGCCTTAGCAAACCATGGGCATCGACAGGGACATCGCCAAGAAGCTTGTGGCAGGTAGTGCGGTATCCATCCAGCTGTGCGTGTCCGTTGTAACGCAACGTGTGCCG